CCAAAATTTATGTTGCCAAGTGAGACATTTTTAAAGTGAGTTTTGCTCCATTTTTTATGACCTTTCTTGCCACAGTTGTTAGTAACCCGGTTGTTAAGCGAATCTGGCTTCCTTATTGACTTTGCTTTTCTGAAAGTCACAAAAGGGAATCACATGACCCATTGGTGGGATTCAGCCGGTTCGCACCACTTCAGCAGAACCGGTAGCTCATTTTTTGTTGCCCAGGCCCAGAATGGACTTCCGGAAGCGGCATCCACACAGAGAACCGGTTGTTCACATATTTGAATCCCACCACTGACACGACCCCAGAACACTGCAACTGGCATAAACATGAGTCAGTTGACAAACATCTGAATTTTAATTGTGTGATCATGGGGATGTTACAATGGTCGTTAAGTGTGAAAAATGGTCATAAGTCACTTTTTTTGCCGCTGTAATTTTGAACAGTCACTAAATAAACTGCTGTAAGTTGAGCACTATCTGTACCATATACAGGTAGTTTTCGACTTACCAATCACAACAGCAATTCCTAGGCAATGCAGCCATAAAGTAAAAATCACCTGAGCACACCTAAGGTATTCCATCAGTTCCAGCTGCAGTCATGAAGCCAATTGCCCATGGTGTTAAGGATTAAATGATGTGACTAAAACTTCCTGCCAACTTCCCTATTGACTATGCTTGTTGGAAGCAGGCTCTGAAGGTTACAATAGCCAATCACTAGATATTTATAATTGTAAATGTACTCTGGATGCAGAGTACCTAAATTGCAGGGATGTGACCACAAGGATGCTGCAATGACCGCAGATTTGAGGACTGGTTGTAAGTCTCCCCTATCAGTATTGTCATAACTTCAAACAGTTGCTATCTATGTTCTAATTATAAAAGACTGTTTCTTTTCTTACTGTTAATTATTTCTGATTTCAATTATTCTAATAGTGCAATTCTATGCATACAACCCCAAGGAGGAAACTTCACTCAATTCAGTGATTAGCTTTAATCTATGAGATACATTAAATTTATTCAGCTATTTGAAATAGGAATTTTATGTTTTAAATTGAAATATAAATACTGTTGCAGAGGAGTTTTGCTGGTATGTATCTGTGAGTGTGCACCTTCGAGTCTTTGTTGGCTCCTGGAAACTGCCTGGAGAAGTCCCTGCAGTTTTCTTGGCAAAGTTTTTGGAAGGAGTTTGCCATTGCCTCTGTCCTAGGGATGAGAGAGAGAGTGACTGGGTCTGATGTCACTTTGATGTGCCCAAAATGAGATTAGAACTGATGGTCTCTGGGTTTTTAGTTTGATGCTTTAACTACAACACCAAATTAGCTCTATTTAAACAGTTATAATTCATCCTTTAGAGCAGTGGTGGCGAACCTTTTAGAGACCGAGTGCCCAAACTGCAACTCAAAACCCACTTATGCATCGCCGGGTGCCGGCTGGGTGTGGCCACCAAGCTGTCGGCTCCTGCTCGCTCACTCGCTCGCTGTCCACTTGACTCGTGCTCACTCTCAAGCTGTCTGCAGCAAATGCTGCTTCCACAGAAAGTTGCTCCTTTTATAGCCTCTCACCTATTCCCAGACTGCGCATGCACGGAGAGGAGGAGGGAACAGCTCAGCCCAGCAATGGCTCACGTGCCAGCAGATACAGCTCCGCATGACGCCTGTGGCACACGTGCCATAGGTTCGCTACCACGACTTTAGATTATCCAAATAATTGAGGAAAGTAATACAAACATTGCTGAATTGTTTTCCTAATCTCTCATTTCTGATGTGTAAACCTTCTCAATAAGTTTAGAAGTCTTAAATAGTTAAAACTGAAATTGAATTTATTTATTTAGTAAATTTATAGGGCCCCCATCTCACATAACGTGATTCTGGTTTTCCTTTCAAAGTTGCCAGGATATATTCTTTAAGAAAGTCAAGATTTGCCTTTTATATAGTCTGTCTTGAGGGTATCCTTATAAAGCTATCTTACAGTATTCATTCTTTTGTAAAGTGATCAGTTTGGTTTCCTGTAATCTCCCTTGGTTTGAACTTGAATTATTCTGTTAGAAATGTAATTAATAGGCTCAAAGAAGGTTTAATGAGTTATTACCTCATTCATTCGTATCAGGAAGACATGCCTACACTGTAAACATCATGATTGGTGTTTTTTCACCCAGAAATAGCAACATTAGATGCTCCTTAATACAAGTGTTTTCTGATGAAGCATCTTGGAAAGGTGTGTTGGGTTTTGGCAGTGGCTATCTTGATAAACAAATGCTTAAAAGAAGATAAGCCAATATTTACTTTAAAATATATACCTTTCCCTAAAATTAAAATTTCTTAAAATAGATGACAGAAAAACTCCCCTTTTTAATATATTCAGTATGAAAATTTGGTGAATAGTTGGGGCTGTTGAGTTGCTTGTGATCCCTGATGATTATATAAGAAAATTCCACTGTCAGTTTATAGCTCTTCCAAGAATATTCGTGGCCAAAAGCATATTTATTGTCTTCCCCTTCCCTTACTCCCAACAACATTGACAATCATAGTCATTTTTTTCAATCTGTCATATTTTCTCAGCACTTTGTAAAATTATATGGGTTTCTGCTCATCACTCAAGTGGCATAGTCAACCTTGGTCAAGGACTGATGGTTTCAGCAAATCTATTAGTCTTCTATATCCTTTCTCTCATTTTTTTTTTCAATGCTACTTTTCACAGATGTACCTTAGCACAGGTAAACCATTGCATTAATTATCCTGAACTTTGTTGTTATTGAAGTATCCTTTCAATGAAAGAGAAGTATTTCTGTATTTCTATAATTCCATTTCAATCTCTTTTATATTCCTGTAACAGCATATTGCCCATTTTTATACTTGAGTCTAAGAAAACAAAACTATATTCATTTCTTCATCTTCAACTTAATATTTAACACATTAATTTTAATATACCAGTGTTAATTTTAATAATGTTAAATGTTCATTTTAATTTTTAATTGAAATATTAACTTTGTTTTTTCACTTTTATTTTTATTTCCATAATGAACTCTTCTAAGACTTTTCTATTTTAGCTAACAAAGAGTTGTCTATAAAATTTTCAACCTCCAGTTTTGTTTATTATTCAATCCTGCAATTTTTATATTTGCTACATAATTTATATTTGCTACATAATATAAGGACAATATTCATTTTTGCCTCGTTCTCAATCTCTAGATCTCATAGTTTTGTTCCATATTTGTTTGCCCAGAACTGTTAATATCTGTATTCCCTTCTGCAGATTTAAGTTGATGAAGGGACATTTTATCTGCACCTGGTGCTTTGATATTTGATAAATGGTCTGTTATTTACATTATAAGGTGTTACAGTATAAGTACAGTACATTCTTGATTGAGATAGTTTTCCCTATTTCTTACATAATTTTGAAAATTATGTTCCATCATTGTACATCCATTTTGCTGTTGAAATCATTTATCCTCCATCTTTCCTGTGCTGTTATAATAACTTGGTATAAAAAACACATTAATCTTTTTTCGATTTTGGGATTTTTTTTTTTTTGTCTCCAGCCTTCATAGTGTTTCTTGTGTCTTCCCTTCTTCCTCATGTTCTCTTTCATGTAAATTAAAAGTACCAAATCTGTTCCTTGTGTTGATCTTATGGTCTGACCCTTCTAAGTCAAATCTTCCTGGCATATCTACTTTTTCAATTTTCTAAGTTATCTGACACCAATAATTTGTGGTCTGTTCTGCAATCTACACTGGACAACACCCTGGCTGACTTGATCACATTTTTCCATCTTTTACTTCCAATTACATACTTGATCCAAGCTTGTCCATATAAGTAGTGTCCGGTTCCAAAATAACTGGAGCACCATATAAACACTGTTGCGGTATTAGCAAAACCACGATCACTTAATTGTAAAAAGTAGCTTTACTTGGAACAACTTCCATCCTGCAATAATACCTTTAACACCATCAGGCAACAACATCTATCTACCTTAGGTCCTTGGGAAAGACTTGATAGGTGGGATAAAAATGCCAAATCCACCTGACTGACTGCGTGACAAACCATAACAATAATAGTAACTTGTTCAAGACAGCCAGAAAATATTTTCAGATTGTACCTAACTTCAGTTGGTTTGCCAGCAAATTAACAAGCAGTTTATATGGGGATACATTAAGGAATTAATACAGTAACATTTCTTTTTATATTTTTAATTTTAAAAAGCTATGATAGGGCTGAGATGAAAATTTTCAGTCATCCCCCCCAAAATTGAAAGGATTTGGAAAACTTCTTTTGCTTATATATGCTTCATTGCAATCTTTGCAACAGTGGTTATGTTGTCTCCTGATGCTCTTTTAAAATTTGAGATATCCGAGAAGAGAAGAATTACTGCCTTCATTGTGATTTAGTTTTATGATTGTGGAGTAAATCCCTTAGAACAGAAAAGATGAGTATGTGGCCTTTCCCTCTTGAATAGATTGAAGTTCCAAAAAGATGCAACTGAATGTGTGTTGTGTTGGGTAATTTATTTAGAAATAAGTTGTAGTCTGATTCTAACCAGGAAATCATACTTTTATTTGTTTCTTAAGAACTAAATTTACAGTTGCAACCATAATCTAAGAGCAGGGTAATTTGTAAGAGGGATTTCACAAAGTACAGTAGCATAACTTAAACAGTCCCATCTTGAAATGTTAGGGTAACCAAGTTCTTTGGGAAGTTTGCAGCTTTCCCCAGGTTGCTCTGTGTGTACACACAGCCACTTCATTTTATGGATGATCTTTATATCTGGTGCCTGTATATGCATATTCAGTTTTTGAAGCAGTCAGTTGACTCCCAGAAGATAAGGTTGCTTTAACTTCAAGGAGTGTTTTGCTTGTGCTAATATGCTTTGCAAAGCAACCTTATTGAATGCTCTATGTAAAAGCCCTGTGTTCATTTTCACTTTATAGCTTACATTTTTTAAAAAATCATTTTTATAGGTTTTATTGAACTAAACTGATTCTTTTTCTTTTCTTATCCCAGTTGAATATGTTGTGGAATATAATTATGATGCTGTACATGATGATGAGCTAACCATTCGAGTTGGTGAAATCATAAGGAATGTGAAAAAGCTTGAAGAAGAAGGATGGCTAGAAGGAGAACTAAATGGAAAAAGGGGCATGTTCCCTGATAACTTTGTTAAGGTAAGCATTCATTTTTCATTAAAGCTGTTGAATACCTTTATTTATTATATCTATATTGGTGGGAATTTAGCTTAGAGATCAGAAAGAATCAAAAAACTGTATTTGAAGAGTGATGTGACATAGCATATTTACATAAGATATTTCAGTGTACTTTTTATCCTGCCTTTATTATTTTTATAAATAACTCAATGCTGAACATAACTAATATTCCTTTCTCCTCCTATTTTTCCTGGAGCAAAGCCTTGTCAGGTAGGCTGGACTGAGACTGAGTAACGAACTCAAAGTCACCTAGCCGGCTTTCATGCCTAATGTGGGACTGGTGGCATTTCCTTTTGTTAATGTTTCTTTAGTGAATAATGACTTCATCCCTTCTATATGTAGATGCTAGTTGTGTGTTGTGTTGAACTACAAGTAGAATAATAGTTATTCAATTCATGCCAGCTTGGTCATGATAAAAATATGTGCTTGCCTTCAGTGGTCTTACACGTCTAGTCATGTCCTTCCTATTGCAAACAATAGAGTATAATAGAGTTAACAGGAATTTGTGACATCAGTATGCCCTGATAGGTATTAAAAAAAAGTAATATGTTTTACTAGTAGATATTAGTTCACTGATAGGCAAACATCTTTTTTAAAATTGATTTTCTGGAATAGTAGTAGTAGTAGTAGTAGTAGTAGTAGTAGTAGTAGTAGTAGTAAAAAAGTTGGAAGGGACCTTGGAGGTCATCTGCTCAGGCAGGAAACTATATCAGTAGTGGCGAACCTATGGCACGTGTGCCAGAGGTGGCACTCAGAGCCCTCTCTGTGGGCACTTCTCTGAATTGCTGGTGGCAGTCTGCGGAGCCCCAGAGTGCACCGGTCGATGGGCCGGCAGGCTGTGGCTGCTGACGGACACTGTCAGCCCCCATGCATTTGCTGGCCTCTGTGTGCGGGGGCCAATGATGTCAGGCAGCAGCTGCCCCGGCCTCTGCCTTGCCTAGCCCTGAGATAATGGCACCCCCACCCTGCCTTGCCTCACCCCACAGGATGAGCCTCCTACCCACCACTCCACCTGCCAGAGACCCCCTGGATCTCCCCCTGCCCAGCCCCCACAGGCGTCCCTCCCCATGAGCAACATCGAGGTGTCCACGCTCACCTTGGCCACACCCACCCAGTCTGCCATGACCACCACAGCCACGCCCACCTGGCACCTGGCAATAAATAAGTGGGTTTTGGGTTGCAGTTTGGGCACTCGGTCTCTAAAAGGTTCTCCATCACTGCCCTATATCATTTCAGAAAATGGCTGTCCAGACTCTTCTTAAAAGCTTCCAGTGTTGGAGCATTCACAGCTTCTGGAGGTTGTTCCACTGATTTTAATTGTTCTAACTGTCAGGAAATTTCTCCTTAGTTCTAGGTTGCTTCATTCTTTGGTTAGTTTCCATCCATTGCTTTTTGTCCTGCCTTCAGGTGCTTTGGAGAATAGCTTGACTCCGTCTTCTCTGTGGCAGCCCCTGAGATATTGGAACACTGCTATCATGTCACCCCTCGTCCTTCTTTTCATTAAACTAGACATACCCAATTCCAGGGTATAATCATCTTTTTTGCTCTTCTTTGTACTCTTTCTAGAGTCTCAACATCTTTTTTACATCATGGTGACCAAAACTGGATGCAGATATTCCAAGTGTGGCCTTACTAAGGCATTGTAAAGTGGTATTAACACTTCACATGATCTTGATTCTGTCCCTCTGTTAATGCAGCCTAGCACTGAGTTGGCTTTTTTGGCAGCTGCAGCATATTGCTGGCTCATAGTTGAGTGATTGTCCACTAGGACTACAAGATCCCTCTCACAGGTGCTACTATTGAGCAAGGTACCATCTATACCATACCTGTGCATTTGAGTTTTCTTGCCTAAATGTAGAACCTTACTTTTTTCACCATTGAATTTCATTTTGTTAGATAGCGCCCAATGTTCAAGTCTGTCAAGATCCTTCTGTATCTTAAGCCTATCTTCTGGTGTCTTGGCTATTCCTGCCAGCTTGGTGTCATCTGCAAATTTGATGAGTTCCCCATCTATCCCCTCATCCAAATCATTGTTGAAGATGTTGAAGAGCATTGGGCCCAGAACCGAGCCCAGGGGCACCCCACTATACACTTCCCTCCACGTAGATGCAGTTCCAGAAATATAACTGGAAATATAACTCCAAATGTTATTTATCTTTTCATAAACATTCAAAAGTCTAGTGCTTCCACAGTTTTAAGCTAGGAAACGTGGCTTATGATTCAGGCTTAGATGCATATACAGCATTCAAAATATGGATACAGTTACCCTGTTCACATAAATATTGAAAATATTGAAATAAGAGAAACCAGGAGCAACCTACTGCGTAACAATGTAATTATTCATTACATTACCTAAAAGTAATGTAATGTATAATTTAAAAATCAGTAATATCACAGCAAGGAAAACTCATGCAAAATAATGATCATTTACAGCTTTTGAAGAAAACCATGTCGTAATATCCTTTCTAACTGCCAACAGTTTTGGCACTGACCTGATTCCAGGAGGAATGCTGTTCCATAGTAGAAAAGTGGAAGCAGAAAAGGCCCTTTTTCCAGAGTGGGGGGACCAAAACTGAGCCCTCAGTTCCTAATCTTATTGTCATGGTTCCGACTAATGGAACACTTCAAAGAACTTCCAGGCATTGTTTATCCTAAAAACTCTTTAATCATGTAACAAAGTGTCAGCATGGCACTGAAGGATGCCAAGATCTGAATTCCCCTCCCCTGAGCACATATTTTGCCAGCATTTTTCCCTCCCTTAATTTGCTGTCATAAATCACGTTCTCCAGTCGAGAAGGTTCCCTTCCATTTCTGTAGCAGGGGTTTCTTATCTTAACTAATCCCCACACATTCTTTCTCCTCCCCTCCCAGCATCATCTAAGTTAACTCTAAAAATACCACACAGGTCTGCATATTTTGTCAAAGCAAGAACATCCAACGTTAGCAGCATTGACACTTATTAGATGGGCAGACACCACTAAGATCAGGTCAACCCAAAAATGTCCAGGTAGCTTTAAAAGTGATAAACAATACATTTAATATACCCAGAAACCAACCAATAATAGTGCAGCTTTTGAGTTAGAGGTGTTAATTCACATCAAATAAATTCTTCATATTACAATATTAAGTTTCACAAGCAAAACTATGCTTCTTCCCTGTACAGTCCAGAATTTATCAATCTTATCTAGCCAAAGAATCCTCCCTATCTTCCAAATTCTAACAGGAAGAACCATAAAATAAAACTGCATTTAAATTCAACATTCTGCTTTTATTACTGGTTTTAAAATAAAATTAATTACTATTAATTACTAAATTAATAGTAATTATATCTTTTTTCCCCAAAAAATCCTCAGACTATTCTAATCTGGATTTAATTAGATGAGGGAAACTTGGGGGAATCAAGAGCACATTATTAAAAATAATAATTTATTAAATGTATATGCCATCCAACTCCCAATGACTCTGGGTGGTTAGCAGCAATATAAAACAGGTGAATAATTCAGTATTCCAGTATTTTCCCCATGAAATATTCCATTGTTAGATCAAATGATATTCATGGCCAGGACATAAAGTCTTTAGCAGATGATGTCTGCAGTCTCTATTGGGTTTTGAAAGATGCTTTGGACAAAGCATGAGCCTTGTCGCCGTTTTGTACCTAATACATCCTTGATGAAACCAAGTAATTTAACCAAAATAGAGCATTGCAACTCCTTCCAAATTTCTATCTGTCCAATTTGAAGTTAGCATGCATTTGTGAATCTGTATTTATGTTATTGCAGTGCAACCTCTATTAACTGTGGAGGCAAATCCTCAGGGCTGCACAGAAACTGTTTTTTGTCCTTTTCCACCCTTGAGGCAATAGAGTGCATTTGTAGCACATGGCAAAACTCTGGAGCACTTGATCGTGCTGTATAGGAAGGTGCCTTTAGCATACTCTGCAGGCCACAACTTTGCCTGTGTTTGCATATAAGAGGAGCCATGATTTAGCAACTGCAGTGACTGGCTCACACAGCACCCATAGGAAGGACAGCATATATAATTCCTTTTATACTAGTACAGGTTAAATAGCAGGACCAAAAAAAACTAGGCAAGCGTTTTGTTTAAATTAACTTTTTTTTTAAAAAAAATATTTTTAATAATCCTTTTATATTCACAGATCCTAAATTCACAGACATAAAAAGCAAGAAATACAAAGCATATCTTTGCATTACATGAAAAGAGATGGGAAAAGATCTGAGAAATATAAATAGAGGTTCCTCCCTGATGATCGACGTTATTAATTTTGACTTAAGGCTTTACTGGATAAATAAAATTTTTATTTCGTTGTTAAAGTTCTTATATGGCGTTCCAACTTCTGTAAAAGAAATTATGTAAAAAAATATTTTGGGAAAAGAGTAATGGCCAGTACCATAAAGCTGCAGACTGATCCTCTCTTAGGAGAACTGTACCACTGAGTACAAAGGGGTAATAACATGTGGGGTGGAGAATTGTTGATCTGCCTTCACAGATATAAGTAGGTATTGCTACAAGCCTAGGCAAACCAGGAAACGTTTGCTCTAGTTAATAGTTGAACTTTGGCCACTGCAACAAGTAGGTAAAAATTTCTGCAACACATACACCTGGGTGTGTTGAAGCAAATATGTCTTTAGAGCCAGTAAGTTCTTTTAAAAAATTTCCTTGCTTAGAAGTTACTACCTAAACTGAGTTAAATAATTAAATCATGATGTTTTGATTTTTAAAATAATTTAGGTAATTATGTATCATGGCATTGTCTGAAAGACCATTTGCAAATAATATATTTTTTCAGGCTCAGACAGCTGTTTATTTTTCATAAACTTTATTTATTTGGATTTAGATAATATTTCAATTGGGATATGGATTTAGATATTGCTTCATTTTTTATGGGCTTTAATGAATTTGGCAAGGTAAAATTAAGCTGCAGAATTGACTTATTGATTATA